GTTCAAACTAATTATTTCACGTTGTCATTTGAGACAATATGTGGTGCAAGGGGTTGATGTCTCTCAAACTCTTGTTTTTCTTTTGCTGACTTCAATTTCCAGGTTGCAGGCGGTTGGATCCTTGAAGGGCAGAAGAGATGGATAGGAAACAGCACCTTTGCTGATATATTGGTTGTATTTGCTAGAAACACAACCACAAACCAGATAAATGGGTATGTGAGGGCTGTAATATGAGAATTTAACACTGTTTGCTCATGATGCATAAAACTTTTGCATGGAATTGTAGATTCCCTCCTTGCATTCTGGCCTCTGTCCTGCTTCAAATTCAGGATATTTGGAAATTTTTGTGGTGCGTGTTCTACGATGTCTGTGAAATTCTGTGGGTGGTTGTGTCACTGAGTTCCTTGTGTTAGATTAGGGTATAAATCTTGATATGGTGCAAGATAAATATCTCATTCTTGCTGGCAAAATTCATCTGCATGTCCTATTGCTTAATAAGAGTGATGCTTCTTACAGATTTATTGTAAAGAAGGATGCTCCAGGACTACAAGCCACAAAGATAGAAAATAAGATTGGATTGCGAATTGTGCAAAATGGAGACATTCTACTGAAGAAAGTGTTCGTCCCTGATGAAGACAGATTATCTGGTGTAAATTCCTTTCAGGATACAAACAAGGTATGGAGGTAGTAGATGCCACTTTCTTTAAATGGCTCTTCCTAGTAGTAATAAAATCTTCTATGCCTACCATTAATAAGAATTTTGCATTTTCTTTTGTCTGCAGCAGCTCCCGATATTAAGAATTTATGTCCGGAATAAAGTTTTTTTTTTCTGCATTTTCACTGTTGACTTGCTTATGTCTTTTTTATAGACTCTTAAATGTCTCATTTATGCATTCATATCTAGCTGATCATTGACCCTGTCTTACATTCAGGTGCTTGCTATTTCACGTGTTATGGTTGCTTGGCAACCTATTGGCATTGTGATGGGTGTTTATGACATGTGTCACAGGTAGTGCTACGTACTAGTCATCAAATGCTTGCTTAATCACATCTATTGATGAAAAAATCTGGCCTTTTGGCTTCCTTGCAACTTTTCCAATATAAGGAATTTCTGCAATCAGCTATAATTGGGCATCAGCGATGATACATTTCCATCACATTCATTTTTTTCTCTGCCATAACATGTCACCAAAGAAAAAAAAATCACTTCTGGTCAATTACTTGTTTTTTCTCGTTGATAAGATTGAAGTCAACTATAAGGCATACTTCGTCAACTTCAGGAATCTTACTTTTGCATCTTTGTTCTTCATTTAGAAAAATCGTAAGCTAAAGTGGATGGTAAAAATTAATCTTGGTGTTTTCACCTGAGGAAGACCTTGAATTGGCTTGGAAGTTGATATTTTTCTTGTAGTATATGTTGGATTGAAACCCATTTTGGCTTTCCAAGCCTTTCATTTGACCAACTTTGTTTTCTATAATCTGAAAGGTACTTGAAAGAGAGAAAGCAGTTCGGAGCTCCTCTAGCAGCTTTTCAGATCAATCAACAAAAACTGGTTCAGATGTTGAGTAATATTCAAGCCATGATTCTGATTGGGTGGCGCCTATGCAAGTTGTATGAGAGTGGTACGCTGACTCCTGGTCGTGCCAGCATGGGAAAGGTGAGAGTTGGCACTTTCTTTTGAACTCTTTGCTGGTGTAACATCGCATTCTTCACTGTGTTAATGGTCTGTTTTTCCAGTCATGGATTACCTTGAGGGCCAGGGAGACCGTGTCTCTTGGTCGTGAATTACTTGGTGGCAACGGGATATTAGCCGACTTTTTGGTTGCAAAGGTATACCCGTTGATTTTATGATCACCCGCTAGCAGATTTTCTGTATGTTGCTTGCACTAGTCTCACCTCCACGTACGACTTTAAAATCAAATCCAAACTTTAGCAAAATAATTTGCTGGAATTCATCTCAAGTAATGAAGCCTTAATAATTCATATTTCTGTCCAGGCATTTTGTGATTTGGAGCCGATCTATACATACGAAGGCACTTATGACATCAATACCCTGGTAACGGGTAGGGAGATTACTGGTATTTCTAGTTTTAAGCCAGCTGCCGTTAGACAACAAAGCCGCCTTTAAATTGCTTACTTCTACATCAAAGAATTGCTCTCTGTTCTGTGTGGGCATCGTAAGTTGCAAGGGAACTTTTGAGAAGGATCAAGGAAGCCAGAGGTTACCAAGTTGAGAAAAAAGTCCATTTATAAAGATGCCAATGATGTGGCCCATCTTATCAACTACTGTTGGCAGGCCACGAAACTTGAACTTCCAATTTCTAAGCCATCTTTTCTGTTGATTGATCTTTCTTGAACATGGTACAACATTGTTTGGATAGAAAGTTATTTGAAATAATTACTGTGGCACTTTTTGTAGCACTTTTTGTGATGTGATGTATGAGAAATAAAAATGTGATTGGAAATTGTGTATGATGCAAGTAAAACAAAATTTGAAATTTTTATTCGAAAATCTTGCAATCCGGACACACCTGCTTGAGCAATGCCTTGATGCTCAAAACATCATTGTTCTGTTGTCGACCTTATCATCGACAGACCACTAGCTAAGCTGGGACTTGCACATGCAACTGGAGGCAGGGACTGATTACTATAGCTGTCAAACAAATTCATTTAATTAAGTTTATTTATATCCATTCATGAATAAATGGGTATGAATATCTTAAATTTTTACATATAGGTATAAATGGGTTACTCGATAATACCCACTTAATAAATAGGTATCATTGGATAACCCATCAAATTCAATTAACCCATTTAGAATTGTCTTCTCCCAAATCTCCTCTCTTCTTCCACCCATTTTTTTTTTTCAAATATATATAAAGGTCCAAATTCCACTTTTTAAATGACAAAAATGAATATAGATTGGGTCAAATCTCACCTTTTTACGAAAAAATAAATATAGTTCGGGTTAGATTATATTTTTTTAGGGACAAAAATGAATATGAATCGGGACATTTATTTAATTACAAATGGGATTTGATCTTTTTGTCCTAAAAAGCTGACAATGTATGGGTTATGTGATGGATTTAGAATAAAAAGTGATAAAAAATTTAAGTTGGAATCAAATATTACTAATTTTATTTTATAAGGGATCTAACATTACTATTTAAAAAGTGAAGAACGAATAATTCATTTCACGAAATGCGATGAACGTTTTGAGCGATTTTCTCAAATACAAACTATAACTTCAAGTCTCTTCCAATTGTACAAGGAAATCATTTCAAAATTCCATTTCAATTTCAATCAAGGCAGCAAAACTGGAGACTGAAAGGGAACAAAATAAGTTTCAACCATTGGAATTTTCTTCCAACTTGAACTGAAAAAGTGGCAGCAGTAAGGCCGCTGGTTGCCGCCGTGTCAATTATCATGGCCGCAAACCACCAAACTATTGTCATCAACAAGAAGTTTTGAATTCCTTTTCGCCCCTTGCATTTTCGGCATGCTACGTCACACTAACAAGTGTAAATTTTTGTCTCCTCCCTGCCCTTTTTGTAGATTTTTGTCTCCTCCCTGCCCTTTTTGTAGCGGTATATTTATCTTGTCACCACATTAAAAGAGATCAGAGCAATAAACCGAAGCTTCCCGCAAAGGATGAAGGAAAGACAGGCGCACCACCGTTTGGTACGTAGGAATGGTGGCCTTTCCGCGCAAAATTCTTTCTTGCCAAAATGGGTAGAAAACTATTTTATCGTTCCAGCGCCAGCTAACTGAAATCATAATGAGATATGTATTTCTTTTTCAGTGTTTGGTATAATTGTGTCGAGAAGGCAAAATGAATTGAAGGTTTTATTATGTTGCTGTTATTGTCCTAAATATGGCATAAATATTTCTTCTTTCATTTTGTTTGATACTAACATCTTAAGGTAAATGATTGATTTTTTTTTTTTGAGTTTGATTTGCAACTACGCTACCAAAAACGAACACATTCCATAAATAATTGAATTAGAAGTACTTGACTTAATAATAATAAAATAACTTTTGAATAACATAAATTGCAATAGTTGAATACTAATTTAGCCAAATTGAAAATTCAAATTGTATACATGTTAATTCTTATGTCCCTTTGATTTGTTTCTATTTGGTTTTAAAAACTATTTATAAACCAAAAAGTATATTTGTGACTTAGTGGATGGTCTAGTAGTGTTTTTTATTATTATTTTTTATTTTTTAGAGTGCATATGAATATACTTTGGTATGTTATATATTACTTCTTTTGAGTTGACACATGCCATTACATAATCCAATTTTGTAAATAAAAAGATATTAAAAATTTTAATTAGATACATTATTTGACAGTAAAAAAGAGGGGAAATGATATTAAGGAATAGAACTAAAATTATTTATGACTAAAAAGTAACGGACATTATTAACTAATAAATAACTAAGCATTCCTAGCATTTGATACATATATAAAAGATAGAGACACGTGAAAGGATAAATTTGACCTATTAGAATTTAGGCATTTCTTGGATAGAGTTGGAATGAGATTTTCTCTAGATTTTTTTTGAGGAATGAGATTTTAGAAAGAAAAAAAAGAGTAGGAATAGATAATCCAAGAGGAAAGGCATTTTCAACCAAAAAGTTGCATACCAAATATTGGAATGAAATGAATAAATTGGAAAGACCTTTCTATTCTAATGCTTTCCGGTGCATCAAAACGATAGTAGTGTATTCTTATTCTTTAGTGCGGCCAACTGTCAATAGGTGTGTGTTAGATTTTTTTTTTACGAAGATTCAATGATCCAAATTGTGTCACACCATCTTACCAAACGGCGTTTTTACCAAATGACATTTTCTTACCGTGCGGTGTGATATAATATAGATTATTGGGTTTTTTGAAAATCGGGTTTACCAAATTTTGAGCAGAATTGTTTAAGTACTGAACGTGTAGAAGTTGTTTCTCCTCAGCTCTTAAAAGCATTAGAATTTAGAGCAACCATTGACAACAAGCCTGCTACTAACTAAGAAGCAACATGCGACAAGAGACGGACAAACTTAAGGCGGTTCCAAACCGGGGAACCTACCGCATGCAAAATTACCTTTTCCCGTTTTGGAAGGAAACACTATCAAAAGAGGGTGGCGGGGACCCCCGGGGGGAATGCCAATCTCTTATTCATTTCTGGCAGCCCACGTCTAAAAAGTCTAAATTTCCATACCAAAAAAAAAAAAGAAAAGAACAAAAGGAAAAGAACACGCCGATTACTGCTTCAACCCCGAATCCTTTTTTAGTTAGATTACTTCTGGGGTAAAAATCTACCAGCCATTAGTTGTGGAACCGCGCTGCCTATCTGCCTCTCTCTGGAAGCCGAGCATCCGAATCCTAAACTGCAGCCGAGCAGCCGCTGACAAGAACCTTACATTTTGAAGGGGAGATAGTATTCCAGCCATCGTTTCGGCTGTCCTGGTCCTCAACCCGTCTGCATCCCGCAGGATATTTTGCATGGCAGATTTTAGAGGCTCTATCCGATTGTCCACGTCATCAATATCGCTGCCAGTAGCGGATTGATTTTGCATTCCTTCGCTCCTCGCCAGGTCCACCAGCGGTGGTGAAGCCACGCTCTCCTGGATCTTGGCCATCTTTTGATCCAACAATTTCTCTTGCCAATTCGTCTCCCGGCTCAGTCCATTGATTCTGTGGATTTGATCCTCCGTCAGATCGTCCAAGGAGCCAAGAGCCAGACGGCACACTAATCCGGGCTTGAACCCCGCAATCCAAAGGAAAGTTCTTTCCAGGGGAGTAAACCAGGTCGGAGAGAATGCAAGAAAAACGTTTCTGTGGGCCATCCTGGATTTTTCATCATAGTATTCTTGATAGTGGGCCAGAACTCGAGCAATGAGATCCCCGACAACATCAGTGTCGTCAATCCTACTGGTGGTGGAGGAGGATTCTTGCGCTGATAGGAGCTCATCAAGAAATCGTTGTTGGCGGACCAGCCAGTCTTCAAAAAATGCCTGAAAGGAGATAGGCTGCCTGGAACTGGAAGCCATCATGATCTGTACTCGAGAAGGACGAGGAAAAAACAGAACCGCGGGGTCACCAGTGAGGGAGGTTTGTGGCTTGGGAGATTGGTCTGGGCATTTTGCTTGTGGTGGGAAAGTATTCCTACGGCAATAAGGCTACGGCCACTGCACCGCTTGGAGCACACTGAATGAAAAGGATCCCTCCGGGCCGCTCACTCACTGCCACTGGTGTCTTAATTATTAGTATATTGAATATGTAAAAAAGCACTAACTAAAGCCACTTGGCTGTGTCAAAACTGGAAGCAGACCGAGGAAGGAAGAAGTGCCAATTTTAATTTTAATTGCTCGCTTCACACCGAGGAAGATTCGGACATACCCCTAGAATTTACGGATTAGCTACTAGGAGCTTCTATCATGTTCGTTTGCAATTTTAGGATATGCACAGACATAGAGTTGCATCGACTAAAGACTCTCAGAAAAGAAAACAGAGAGAAGGGAGGGAAGGATGGGGGACCCAACTTCCAAGTGCACAATGGTCCAAGTGTATCGGTGGTTTTTGTCCTTAATTCAGCGACACTTGTTTTTTTTTTTTTTTTGAAATCTTTCTCGCCAATAAGGCTTCCACATCACCAGAGAGGGATCTTCTCATTATTTCTGCCAACCTCTCATCGCTTTACAGATTCAAACTCAGGACAGCAAGCAAACGGAAGAGGATAAACACAAAATTTGGTCATTTTAATACCTTTAAAATTTGTGCCCCTTGGGGTTGGCTCGGATGATCTCGAAGTAGCCTAGTTAGGTTTCGAAATCGCGTGTTCGAATCATCTCTCTATCGCTTGCGTATCCTTGGAGGGCAGGGCAGGGTGCACAGGCGCAAGAAAATTAGTCTGACAAAAGTTGGAATACTTCCTGTGTGGATGGTCTCGAAGTAGCCTAGTTAGGTTTCGAAATCGTGTATTCGAATCATCTCTCTATCGCTTGCGTATCCTTGGAGGGCAGGGCAGGGTGCACAGGCGCAAGAAAATTAGTCTGACAAAAGTTGGAATACTTTCCTGTGTGTTGAATGGAAAAAAAAAAAAAGAAAAAAGTTTAGTCAACGCGATGTAGTTATTGGTTTCAAAGAGGAAGAAGGGTTTAACGGACACACATACCATATGTTACGGTCCGGATGTTGAGTTTAACTTCAACTCTTGTAAAAACATACCTGTGAGTTAAGTTTGAGCGAACTTTTATAAAATCCAACTTGATTATTAAAAATCGAACCCGATTAAAATATCGAGTAGTTTGATTATCTTCCAATCCTAACTGTAGACGGCTCGACCGACCAGCATATTTAGAGACGAAGAAGATTCATAACAGGGGACAACAAAAATATCCATCTCCCCTCTTCTTCTTGCTCTCGTCTTTGATTCAAAGCCAAGACCGAGAGGCGAGAGGTCGGTGACCCTGCCTGCACTCTTTCCACATCTAGGGTCAAAGTCCATCCCCCGGGATTATTTTTATCTTTTCACGTTGGAAGTCAAACGTCGTTGGATCACGTGCAACATCCAAACTTCAGCGAGTCAATAGATGTCTGACACCCTCAAAAAATTTCAACGGTTCAAAGTTAGACCGTGTAAACCAAGGAATTACGCCCAGTTCGTCATTTAATTTAACACCAAACTAGTGTGAATTTCAGAGACACCGGGCTAAAGCGCTTTAAAAGTCAAAAAGCTGATTGAGCTTCTGCCTTTTGAACGGTAATATTTATGGTAGACAATAAATACTACTTTTAAAACCATAGAAAAGCTTTGCTTATTTTTCCTCGTTTGCAGCTCACCTTTATCACATTATGCATCAGTCCAGTCCAATACAACTTATGATACAATACAAGTAATGCCTGAGTAAACAGTAATCAGACGGTACGGCAAATGTACAGTAGCCTGATGTCACACGCGCTCAGATAAGTCTACACAAGCGAGGCTTAGAACAAATCTGCCGTCCATTTGATTTGACTACCGCCATCAGTCCAGCAGTTACACCGGCACATATAACAGAGGACACAATGGTCTGTGCATTCCGTCCCGCTACACCAACTAAAAAGAAGCGAAATTGTGTAAAACCAACATAATCAAAAGGAGAAAAAAGCAGTAGAGAGAGCGACGTAATAATTTCTGTACCTTGGTTAAGTGTAATGGAGGTCACTGTCAAACCTCCGATTAGCAATGCTGATGCCACTGGGATATACTGCACATCATTTTACGTGGAATTCAGTCACATTGGTCATATATCTCTGAACACCCAGTTTCCAGAAGCATAACTTATAGCATTTTAAATATCCATTTCCATTGTTGAGAGGACTGCCAAGAAGACAAAATAGGACCGTCTACAACCTAACATAACAGCTGTGGCAATCCTGGAAAAGGATTTGAGATGGGATGGCAAGGCTGATTCTTAAAGAGTCTTAAGAAGGAAAGCCAACAAGCCAGTAAAAGCTAAATTTACTGCACATACATTAATTGGGCTTAATAAGCAAGAGATGAAGTTTGTCACAAGATTAATTATGCTAAGAAGATGAGGGGAAAAACATGCGCTAGGCTTTAAGTTAGGTCACTGCTGAGATGCATGTATAGATTGATTGCTTACAGAAAAGGTCTCAAATCCGTTAAGCTGGGCAGAGGAGGGTCTGCTCGTATTGACATCACATCGGCCACTGATAAGATCAATTGCATCCTAGAAATAAATGGCAAAGTATGTCAACCAAATTTTCCAGAAAAAGCAACGAGTTAGAACCAATAGGCTGTCAAACAGAAAACAACTAGCCTGCCGAATCCCATCCTGAAAATTATTCAAATAGTATCTTGACAGGGCACTAATCCCATCTTTAATCATTCCGGCCATGGTCTGTTTCCCATATCTGCAAAATGCACTACAAATTAGTAGAGAAATTCCAAGGCAACATGTGATCTCACCTCTGTCCTGAAATTACCTGACAAGGTCCCGTTTTAGAGCATGGGTTCCAGAGTATTCAAGGCTTATCTCATCACCTTGGTCAACCCACACTGCAACAAGCAGCATAATAATGCATCAGAACAGACAGATTGATTCTCAGACTTGTATCACTGAAAAGTTACTATAATCGGGTATTCTTTTATAGAAAGCACAAGGGATGATTTACAGACAATCAATCATGCAACGCGCTTACAGTTCTTAAAGATTTCAAAATCCTCGCTGAACATTGAAATGCAATCAGTTGAAGACAATATGCCAACTCTCTGCAGTTGAGAATTCAAACATTTCCGAGCCAAAAAGCTCTGCAAAATATAATGTTCGACATTTACAATGATGAAGGCCTAGAGAAGAGAGAGCTCTATAAAAGAAACTATTCACAAAGAAATTCAATTTACAAAGTTCTCCTCAAACCTGTGTAACATTTGTTCGATCAAGACAATCAACGCAGTTTGTCCTCATGATACCTTTCTGTTCGGATAGTACTTCACCTTCTTTGCCAATGAAGAAATATCTGCTCAGCTGGAACAGTAAATATTATTATGAAGCCCCTGCAAAGCTGCATTTGCAAATCATAGATAAGTAATCAACACATTCTTAACAGTTTTTATTACCCTTGCTTCTCAAAATCCTCTGCGATCTGATCATACAAAAGTTCGATGTTGTCGAAATTTGAGTTGCCGCAAGAATGATGAAAGTCAAATGAAACATATCTGAATCATAGCAATAAACAAAGAGTAATTACAAAATGAAGTCATTTCTTCTGGTGAAACTATAACATTTCACAGTTTCAATAAGCACAAGAGCACAGAGATGTTATCATTTTCTACAGATGAAGACTCACAGCAATTGTGTGGTACATCTCTTTTAACCACACTAATTCAGATGACCCAAAACAGGGTCAGGCAGTGAACTTTAGAGCTTGTTACCATTCTCTAAGAGATTTACTAGGGAATAAAAAAAAAAGTTGATTGCAACTCTTACAGGAATTCTCCTACCATTTAATGGGTTTTAGCTCATAACCGGAAGAAATCAAGAAAATGACCATACATCAGTGCAAATAATTAATTCAAGGAAAATCACCTAATGTTTTGCAGCTTTTCCATTTCGGCAGCATAAGCCATACTTAGTCGACCCTCATCACCATTCTGAAAGTATAATGAAAAACTATAAGGATACTGGGGACATGAAAAATGCATGTGCATAAAATTTTTTGTGTATGATCAGCAGATAGGTTGAGCTTGGATATCTCATTAAATAGTAAACTGAACTTGGCTCCAAAATTTTCCACAATGACTGGCCAGATAAGATAACTGGATTATTCAGACAATAATATGCAGGACACTAGCGAATCTAACTTGTAGCTGAAAAAATCCAGTCCAGCTTATTAAATGGTTGTAAACAGAATGCAGCGGCAGATGGACACCTCTAGATAAGGTTCAGCTGATGTATCTAGAACCTACATGCTCCTTAAAATTGCCATGGTACAGACGCTCAGAGAGTCCAGTACCCAAGTGCTCTACAAAGAGTACAACGAAAAATTCTGACCTTATCTGTCAGGTCAGCAACAAGAATATCTCCGTATCTTTGACAAAGATCACTGAAATGGCGCTCCACAACCTTTGACTGAGATAAATGCATGGGCAAGTATATCAATTTACTGTACTCAGAGTTAGAACCTGTACTAACTTAAAAGAAAAAGAGGATAAAAAAATTATCCAGGTATTGATTCAGAGGGCAACTACCGTTTGGTCATGATCAATGATATTAAGTCGCGGCTTATAGCTCAAATCAACAATTTGCTCCCAGAGAAGAGGAATGGAACCCCGAATCTGTAAACAGGTAGATTTCTAAATATTGCATAAGCAGAACTATAAACAGGTTGAATATGGGAGTGGATAATGCGATGATATTCTGTCAGAACAAATCACCTACTGCAAAACTTACCCTAGTGTAGGGTGCATCGTACATGTAAAACTAGAGACAGATGATACTTATATGTGGAGATATTGAAGGAAATGGAAAAGTTGACAACACAGATGACCCTCTTTCTTTCCCCTAATAGTAAGTAGATAGTACAATACAAGCACTCTGTCAAGAAAGTGGAGGAAAGCTGGAGAATAGAACCCAAAGTACTATCTGTCAAAGATGTGAAGAACAACAAACATAAACAAGAAAAAATAGATGGTAAGCCACATTAAGGAAACAGTCATGTTTTCATGCACATATATGCTACACTTCAGAAAAGGAAATACTTTTTGAACTAGCAGATCATGTCTTTAGACTTTCTATTAGGGGAAAAAAGGATGAGAAACTAAAATAGTTATAATAGGTATAATACGCGAAATAAAAGAATTGGAAACATAAAGCAAATTGGTTTGAGAACAAAACATGATCTAAATAAGGTGTAAGGGAATAAATATAATTGAATTACTTATTTCTCTTAATCACACAAAACTGCATGAGAACCAAGATGCATGCACAACACCATAATACCAAGAACCAACTCTTTACATTTTGCTTGAAGTAGTAATAGCATGATAACTAGTTGGCCTCAAGGCCAGCATCTAGAATAGGAT